TGAACTTTTTTTTCATATCCTCCGTTTCGTGTAAAATTATAAAACACGAAACTGTTTGAAAACATTTTACACATTCACCTCTACTCTCTAAAATATATGTCCAAGACTTGAACACTGAAATGAATCTTAATGGAGATACACTGGGATACACAAGTCACGTAATGCCTTCACACTGACAACCACTCTTAATGAGTCCTGCAAAATTCCCAAATTCTACGAAAATTCGTTTAAGAATGGAAAATATAATGGGGAGGTAGAAGCTTGGTTAAATTCAATAGTAATAAAAATCAGTATTTACCAATTGCACTTTCCAAATTAGGTGATCTCCCACCAATCACATTTCAGGACGCTATCATTCTGCCAAATTCTAAAATAGATATGCAAGGCCTCACCATTTCCTCTAATATGTCATGGAAGCAACACATCCACAACATTGCTAAAGCTGCCTCCCGAAAATTGGGAATGTTGTACAGATGCCGTAGCTACTTCACTCCTGAGCAGTTGCTTCAAGTATATAAGAGATTCATTCGTCCTAACTTGGAGTACTGTTAGATAGGGTGGAATCAAAGGCATTTCGTCTTATTACTCTCCTCCTTTAGTTGACAATCTTTCTTCCCTTTCTCTTCGCCGCAATGTTGCTTCACTCTCTCTCTCCTTTACAGGTACTTTAACGGGCAAAGGTCGGTGTATTTGGCATACTGTGTACCGCCGGCAAGGCCGTGGGTTCGTAACACAAGTCTTGCCCGCGGTGCCCACCATTTTTCTGTGGATGTCGGTCACACTAGAATAACCCGTTATAGTTTATCCTTCTTTCCTCACACAGCAACACTGTGGAATGCTCTGCCTTCTTCTGTGTTTCCATACTCATACAATCTGTCTCACTTTAAAACACTGGTTTTCCGGCATCTTCGTGTTGTAGATTAATATACTCTTGTGGGTCGATGACCTGTGCGCGGGAGGGCTAATCCCCGTAAAAAAAAAATTACATGACATAACATGAGAATTCTAGGCACATCATCGTGAAATGAGTAAACACTAGTCTTTTGGATTAACTCTCGCAAGAAATTTAATAACACACACACATACACTGCACAATGCTCAACACTTATTGCACAGTATCAATGACCCGTTTGTACAGACATAAATTATCTTACTCCATTAGCACATTTTGTAAGAACACAACTTTTCTTTATGTGAAATGTACTTATGAATTATAGATTTACACAATAATCACCTATAGTCTCTGAGCAGGCACTCACCTTGTAGCTTATAACTTCAAACTCCAATGAAACTACTTGATCCTCCAGTTAAATTATAACAACATTCACATTTGCTTCATTTTATAATCCTTACTTCAGTCTAGCTAAACTGGAAATATGCTATACCCCTGAAACAAAGCTGCGTACCTTACTGAGTCGTATTCCGACTGTATCAAAATACCGGGAGATTTATCGAAAAAAATTGCCTTTAAATTGATAGCATTTGTTTTTAATAAATTTTAACTCAGCTATGAGATGCAGCCTTTATACTGCTGGCCTTCCCGTCTATGGTAAGTAAGGTACAATGAAGGGTTCTTCCATTACCTCAATAGGCCCCAGCAATGACCAGCTCTCAGTCCATAATTTTGTGTATTATCATGGCTAGACGCTATTCGTGGGTTTTCAGGGACACATGACGTTAGCACAAGGAACACAGAATACAAAGAGTGGGTTGGTTGATGGTGTTTCAGGGACACGTGGCCTGGAATATAGCAAAAATTAGACTCTTTTTATAATATCTCTTCGTGTTTTCTTCTTTCCTTGTGGTTATCAGCATATACCTAGATCACGCGCACCTACAGTGATTTACTTGCATATATATATATATATATATATATATATATATATATATATATATATATATATATATATATATATATATATATATATATATATATGTCATGTAGATCCACAATGAAAACGTGGATAAGATAAATCTTGATAAAATCACACGGGAAAAGGGAAACAACGGAGCACCTTAGCTTTCGTCTTTATTCAAGACATCTTCAGAAGCAACTGGATTACATGGACAGAGAGAGGCTTAAATATACAGGGTGACCTTAAAAACAGGAGGTCAGGTCATAATGATGTCATCCACTAAGATGAAAGAGGAAGGTAAAGTTTGAAGAGGGAAGTACAGGGGGAGATTGAAAGCAGGTGGGCTATCCACCTCACACGCACACCTGGCGGGGACGAGATTGAAGTCTAAGGGGTCAAGGTTGACAAGCTAAGCGAAACTAAGATATCGATGGCTTAGGGAGAGTCTCTGGGTCCGTGTGTCTCTGTAGGGGAAGTCCCCATCTTTTTCTTTATTATGTGTATATTGGTAGTGGATCTGGTTCCTGTTGGCTCTTTATACTTTTTGTCCACCAGTTGTGTGATGTGATATTGTTGTATTATGTTATTTGGTGTAGTATGGGGTGTTGTGTTTATTGGATTTTTCCCCAAATTGCGTTAACTTGGGTGTGTATTCTGGTGTTGGGTGGGTCTCTGCTGTGGTCTGTATGTCTTGTAATGTTTGTGTATACGGTGGTCTGTGTCTTACCCCTCTTCTTATGTCTTGCACTGCCTGTAGTTCTTGTTTGCTTGTTTTTTTTATTTTATGCTGAGTGGAATTGGGGATATTCTAGATGATGTCTAACAAATGCTTTGTATAGTGTAGTTGTGTTTTGGTTGCAGAGTCGTTGTAGTTTGGTCAGTTGTGCTTTGGCCATTGCAATTCTTTCATTAATGTGTGGGAGGATACCATTTCTTGTGATTTTAAGGCCGAGGATTTTTCCGTTGTTTGCATATGGTATGTGTTGGTTGCTTACGAATATTGGAGAGGGTTGGTTTTTGCAATATATATTATTTTGAGTTTTTGCGTGTTGATTTTATTTTTCATTTTCTTTCTTTGTTGTTCATGGGCTCAATCTCTCTGCTTGTTCTGAGTGCCATCATTCTTATGGATTTTCCTGGGTATTGGATATTTTGGGTTACATCGTCTGCATATGCCACGTATTCAGAGTTCATTGGTTTAAGCATGTCTCCTGTATAAATAGTGTATAAGGTGGGGGATAAATTGCTGCCTTGTGGCACTCCACTATAAAGGTTGAAGGTTTTTCCTATATAGTGATCGACGTTGAGTTTGGCTTCTCTGTTGTCTGTTGCAGGCTGCCTTTGCTATGGATTCGTAAATTAGGGTTATTGCAGAGTTTGTACCTCGGTTTTTTTCGAAAGCCGTGTTGTCTCGGGTTATATTTATCTTCGTAGTCTAAATAGTTTCTTAGTCTGTGGTAAATTATTGTTTCCAGTATTTTGCCGTTTGTGTTGGGTTTTTCCATCTTTGGGTATGAGCCTTACCTTTGCTGTTTTAAATTTTGACGGAAAAATCCGGCTGCTAGTGAGGCATTGAAAATTTCTGCGAGTTTTTTTATCATTGGCGGTGTTAAGTTTTGCAGCACAGTTTTGATTATTTGGGTAATTCCAGGAGACTTATTCTTAAAGCTGGTTACAGTATTTTCGATATATTTTGTGGTTATTGGAGCAATTAGTGGGTTGCTATGTAATGTGTTGAGTTTGATTGTCCTATGGGGTTGCCATTTCTCTGTGTTCTGATTCAGGTGTTTTCTCACCATCTGTTCGGTCTCTCTGCAAAAGTTTCTGTTGTCGTCCTCCGTGATTTTGTATATGCCGCTCCATATGGTTCTGAATATTGTTTCTTTGAGTTCGGGTTCTGTGATTTTTTGTCCATTGCTGTCTATGAGGTATCTATTTTCCACTGAATTAAATCCCATGCGGTTTATAATTTTGGTCCAAAACGATTTTGGGTTTCTGTAATCCGCTTGTGTGTCTTGATTAGTTAACTCCATTTTTTATTGCCTTTTCTTGTGAATCTTTCTTTGAGTTTCTCTTTGAGTTAGTGTAGTGGTGTCTTGGCTCCAGCCGTGTGTTTTTATGTATTCGTGTATATTTGTGAATCTGGTTTGGATCGTCTTCTCTTCATGTGTTAGATATGCTTATGATAGTGTGCGAAATGTTGATTTTGGTATGTTGTTTTCCATTGCTGTGGCGTTCTGCTGTGCATTCGGTGTTGAGGGCTGTTTTAAGGTTGTCCCAGTTTGCTTTATTAAAAGCATATCTTGGAATCGAGGGAATTTGTACGGGAGATGTAGAGAGCGTTAATATTATGGGCAGGTGGTCACTGGTAGTGGTGGGTCCAAGTTTTATATGTGTATGCAGATGGTGGTGTCTATTGGCCTGGATTATATCGGGTTTCCCTGAGTTTCCCGCCGTTATAAATGTTTCGAAATCAGGGCCGACATGGGTGATGCTGTCATGTTCGATTAGGTCGCTTAGGATGTTTCCTCCTGGTTTTCTGTTGCGGTGTCCGAGGATAGTATGTCGTTGCATTTAGGTCTCCTAAGAAGTAAGCAGGGTTGTTTCGTCTGATAAACTTTAGGTCTCCTGTTGAGGATCAAGGTCTTCTAAATGGTATGTTGGATGTTCCTATTGTTATTGGGCCTCTGGTTGATGTATGTGATAGTTGAAGATTTTTATTTTATCTTTTTACGGCCGTGTAAATTGATTAGTATAATGTCTGGATCGAATATGTTATATAGGTTTATGATTTCCGTTTTTCTGATTGGGGTCCAGGCTAGTACAGTGTGTTGTATAATGTTCCTATATATGTAGTCGTGGGTCCCTCGGTTTTTTTGAGGGCTGTTTATTGGCTCTTGATTCCCCTGTTGAGTGTGTGTGTCGGTCTTCCTTTAATCCTGTTCTTATTTTCTTGAATTTTGATGGTTCTACTTTTTCTGTTTTATTGACTCTGGTGCTAAGTCTTCGGGTTCTGATCAGGGTTTCTATGTGGGCTTCTTCTACCCTTCCGTCCTCGTATGTGTACTTGATCAGTCCTTCCTCTATTTCCTGTAGTTGTCTTTCATTTGACACTGTTGGTGGTGAGGTGGCAGAGTAAAAGCG